CTGGGAGGTCTGGGTTTTTCACACACTATTTTCGTATCGCCAGTGTTATTCCAGTTCCATACAGCGCCGGGGCATTAGGATGTGGTTTGCTCCATCTTTTTGAAGCTAGGGCCCAGCCGCACACCCCACACCCCAGCCTTGTCTAGACAAAGATTTAATGGCAGCGTGTTGAACAAAGGTGGTCTAAGCTGCACTAACTCCTGGGCTTTCTTTAATAACTAAACTCCACCCGTTTAGCCTGCATTAAATTTTGTGCTGTCAAGTCTGGCTTGAACTTTGTAGAGGGTGTTTTTTTAGAAATACATTTTTTTACACCTTTCTATTGAAGCCTTGCAGTCTGCTATTCCCAGAGACACAGGTTTACTGGCCAGTGGCTCGTTTATGCTCAAGTCCTTTCAGCACAACAAAGCCACAGGGATCTAGACAGAAAAAGGGATCCCCCTCAGATCCACACCCAAACCCCATTCAGTTGAGCTTCACAATCCATTTAGACAAACAACTGTGCACTAGGAGGTGTACATCCAGCCTTTCAGAGTTAGAGGGGTAGAGTGATGGGAGAAGTCCACTCCTGTGTGCAGAGGGGAATAGTGGCAGCTGGGTGATCAGTGTCTTTTTAAATAAAGCAGAAAGCTGAGGGGAGGAGGAGGGTGCAGAAAAGTAGAACAGTTACTGTTGCACAAACACACTGTGGGGGTTTGGGTAGATTTACCCCTTTTTGCTTGCAGCTTTTATCAATGTATTTCTCATAACAAGTCTTACACTGAAACTAAACCACAGCTATTCTAACTCCTAAAAAGAAAATTAACTCTGTCCTAGCAAAACCAGGACACACATGAACTAGGTTCCTGTCCTTCAAACTTCAATTTGCCTTTCCTAGGAACAGCCAACATAGGCTCCTCCAGAGAATAATTTGGGACCTAACGTGGTAGGTGTGAACCCCTTTCCTTCTCTTTCAAGGGCAGAAGGAGCAGACAGGGAAGTGGCAGGATTACAGAGCTCTTAGCAAGTGCCTCATTAGTTTGTAACTGGTTATTTAAGTTGTTTGGGCAAGAAAAGATTGGCACAGTGGAGAGAGAGAGAGAGAGATAGTGATAATAGCAAGCAAAAAAGCACACCTATGGAGTAGAGCTGGTAAAGCCTACAAGGGCAGCACTGTCCTGCCAGCTCTGCTGCTGTCACTATCTGCACTGTAGAAACGCTGCCCAGCTCTTCCTCTCCAGGCCACAGGGCCTTTAGAAAAGGCAGAGGGAAGAAAGAGGGCTGGGGTGGTGCTCCCAGCACCAACCTGAACTGCAGCCCAGGCCTTTTCCAGTGATGTTCTCCTCCTGCATAGTCACGTTAGTTACAACAACATTACAGCAGCTTTTTGCTGCTAAGGGCATTTCTCAGGTGCTCAATTCCTTAATAAACAGAAGTGGGTTTCTCTTTCTGTGGGGCAGGGATTTTAACATACCAGCTCCTGAAAAGTCTGTGTTCTCACTGCAGTATGTTTCTAGACTGCCTGGTTGCAAAAGTCACCTTCTACCTGTGAACTGTGTGGAGTGCAGCGCAGCCTTCCACTGCCCAGGCAGGCAGCTCCAGCACCTCTCTCCTTGCCTCAGCGTTCTCTCTAGAACCTCACAAAGAAAAAAAGAGCAGGTCAAAACAACTTTAAGGGCTGACAGTTGCAACATAATTTGCACTAGGAAGCCAGCTTCACTGTATTTTATTTTCTTCCTTGAGGAGGGTCATGGAAGAAATTAAGGAGGTAGCTATTCTCAGCCTTCTCCCATGAAGAGTGGACAGCTGAGCTTACCAGTGGTGTATTACAAGAATTCCATTAAAGAACCTGCCAGAGGAGCTTGAAATCTCTTGTATCTAAACAGAGCTTGTCCTACTCATTCCAGAAGATACATCTTGTTCCTGTTACATTTAATCCAGCGTGGATTAAATTACACAGAATCATGGCAGTCTCATTGCAGAATGAAATGCACATGTTAAACTGTTACCAGACAGCCCCACGCACACACCGATATCTAAAAGACTTTGAATCAGGTCCTTCATAAACTCTCTAAGCCAAAGATACTTGTTTACTTTTGCTTTTCCCCACCCTCTGTTGCCCTAGTAAGCTCCTAAGTACTAGTGTGGTACAAATAACAGTTTAAAACAAGATCTTAGGCTGCTGCATTAAGTAGAAAGCTCACTGAAATTACATTGTACATCTGCAGAAAGCCTGGATAATAGCTAACAGACAGAGGAACTTCTCAGCCCATGCTTATTTCATTGTGCTATTAACTTTACAGCCTAATTACATCTAACACACCTGCATAACCAAACTCATTAATTAATTAGCAGCAGACTGGGAAAGAGGATACTCCTGGGATGGCTAGGGATGGCGGCCGTAGAAGAGAGGAGCTATACAAAATCAGGGAGAGAAATAAGGAAAAGGACAAAAGTTGTAGAAGTTGCTAAAAGAAAACAGATCCCTCCTCACCCCATTTTATGCAGGATACAGTACTCGGGGACTGAATCCATAAATACAGATAATTAAAAAGTTACCCTACAGGTCAGACTCTCTAGTCTCCCTCTGACACCCACAGGAAATGTGATATAGATTGAAAAGTGTATGTGCTCACATCTTTTTTTCCCCCTTTCTGGCTCAGGAATTGTAATTAAAGGGAAAATCAACCCCTCTCCTGCCTTAGAGAGTATAGTGGCACAGCTGGTTTTCATCTTGGCTAGCAGGCTCTGTCCTCAGGCTACTAAGTGCTGAGTAATTTTTACCAAGCTCTGCTTGCAGATAAATGATGTTCTCTTAGCTGCTGCCAGGCAAAGCTACAAATACTTGATCTTTTATTCTTTTTCCCATAAACTCCTAACATTGAATACTAAAAATGCAGCCAGAGATTTTTCCACTGCCATTTATTCTCAGCATGGTCACAACTGTATTACAATTACAGACACCCACCCATTTGCTGAAGCTCAATTGTAGCTCCTCATTAACCTGAAGCTTCCAATTAAAGGCTCCTTCAATTTCATTGATAGTTTGCATATACTCCAAGGACCCACTTTTCTTTTTTTTCTCTCTCCCCCCCCCCCCCCCCACTCCACAAAACACATTTCACAAGAAGGACAACTGCTTTAAATAACTTCACAGTAATTTTTCTGGAAAAGCCTGATGAGCGAGTGCCAGTCTCAAAAGAAAAGCCTGTGCCTGAATACGCAGTTTGGGTAATTTCTCTCACAGCTATAACTCCAAAAATATCTGAAAGGTTTTGACTAAATGTGGCACAACTGCTGGGCAGATAAAGTGTGGGCTCAGACTAATGGAAAGAAACTCGAAAGGTACAACACTGGAAAGCCATTAGTTTAATTCAAGTTTCATGCAGTGTTTCTAGTAAGACCTTACATTTGCTAAGAAACTGCGTAAGAATTAGTTAAAAATTGTATAGAAAATGATTTTTTTTTTTTTAAATATTAGTTAATCTTGGCAATGCTGTTCTTCCACCTACCTCTAGTAAGTGAAGCCATGAACATGAAGCCAGCACAAGGAGGAGGCTGAACCCTGGTAAGAAATACCGTGGCTAATTTTAGAATGGTTTCCAGTCATGCAGTATGAAACACAGTGAGTAACAGTGCACTGGGACAGTACCTGCACACTTCTAAAAATAATAATCATGATTTCAAAAATATTTGCCTGATTTCAAAAATATTTTTAAAGTATAAGACTATAGTCCATCAACTTCCTAAACAACATCATGCCTTTAAAGACCTCCTTCCTAGCACATACACCAGTCTTACTGGTTTTACTGGGATTACTGGCTACTGTTTCAGTAGTATCAGCCCCTGATGCAAGTCTATTTTCTGTTTAAGCCAGAAATGAGGGAGAAGAGGAAAGGAACAATTCAAAGGCAAACCAATAGCTATTAAAAAAACCAAAAATCATGAGGTGGGGGTAGCTTTTCTTTTAAAAAGTGAAAATTTGAACTGCTCTCTTGATATCTGTGGCAGAGAGGGCACTTCCATACGCTTTCTTCTGTCTGTTATGGGTAGGGGTACACAACTCCAGAACAGCTTTAGCCTAAACCCTGTTTGCACACAGCATATTTCAAAACATGGCTTAATGCAATCACCGCACTGCAAATCCAGTGTGGAGCTGTCCTGGCCTGTCTCTGCTGCTCAGTGATCTGTGCTTAGATCCAACCTAAACCCAGGGAACGGGCAGGACAGGATGCATTTGTGTTTTAGGATGGGGAAGTTTGAGGGAAGGCTGCATCTGGATTCTAAACTAAGTTACCATGTTTTTCCTCCTCTTGCTGGTACTCAGGATGTGGCTGTCTCCTCTCAGCCCACAGAACTCTATTTAAACACTATGGTAAAGGTATTCTGTAGTAGCGTGGTTTCTAATTTTAAGTGTTTTCAAGCATTTAAACTAGATTGTAAATGTTTGAAGCTCCAGGGTAGTGAATCTGGGCCATCTTTCCATTATTAAAGTCTTCAGACCCAGGAGTGGACTTTGGTAACTATGTGTCAGGGCAGTGCCAGGAGATGCTGGGGCTTAACAGTGTTCCTGTTACTTAAGTGTTAGAGGGAAACAGTCCATGTTAAACACATTTCACACGGAGCATTCTTCTTAAATACCTTGTAAAACAAACGAAACATCGGTTAGAAACACATTCACCACTGCTGACCACACAGGTTTTTATATTTAATAGAAATTAAATTAGTAGCTTAATATACATAACGTGACACTTTCCAGTCCAGTAGCTCTCCCAATTCTTACTTTAAAGTCACGGAGCAAATGTTGTACAAAAAGGATAACAAAGAGCAACCGAAGAGTAAATTACGCTGTCACTACAACACTGGACCCAGAAAGGTGAGGTTTATCTGGAGCTACACACGCCAAAGGATACATAAGGATGGACCCATCGTGGTACAGTCATGCATTACCAAGGGACAGATCTACAAGGCTGGTTCCTCCAGGGCAGGTGGCAGCATCCTGGACTGCAGAGAGGGCTGGTTTATCGTGCTCCATAGCTGTAGTAGTACGGTTCATCCGGGCGGTATCCATATGCAGTGGCTGGGCGGCCGGGAACCCCTGATGATTGACCAAATCCATCAACTCCAATGCTAGAAAAAAAGAGGAGAGAGAAACTGTAGGTTTTTGTAGGGTAGGGAGGGCACACTAGTGCTGGTGTCTCCAATTCTTCCTGCTGCGGAGGTAATTCTGTGAGGCAACTTCGCAAGCCATCTTCTCCTTCTAGCTAGCACTGCTCCGTCTCTTCTCTTGGTGGGAAAAGAAACGCTGCAGAGAAGCCAACACAACTCCTGTTGAGGAAAGGCTTTCAGGTCAAACAGAAATCCCAGAAGAGACAGAATTTTTCTCTTCTACCCTTTTCTGGATTTACTGGCAAAGCACTTTACTTCTGTGACTCAATTTCTCTCTGTATGTTAAAGTTGACGTGTCTTTCAGGAAAGGCTTCAAGCACGCTTCTTGCAAAGCCCACTGATAACCCTGCCCTACACAGCACATCTGAATAATCCAATTTCCTTACCTCAGTACATTTCTGAAGCCCCTAGGAAAATACCAGCTAGAAATGAGAAAGTGAGAAAACCTGGCACAGCAACATAGTTCAGCAAAGGACAGTGTTTCTGGTGGGATCCAAGACTGACAGCCAAATGACAGAAAGAATTCATCATATACCGAAAGGCTATGTACTAATGAGACAGGATAATTCATTTTTCACACAGAACAGCATCTTTTACACCTAAAAAATTGCCACAGCAATGAATTAGATACTAAAGCACAAGAACTGCATAGGGAAAAGTGGCACATACTTCATGTTCCACAATAACTCTCCTGCAGGAGGTAGAGGAAAAATGAACATTGCTTAAGATCCTGGATTAGTGCCTATTCATAGTTATGTCACTTCTTAACTTCCACTTCTGTAGAAGGACAAATAGAAAAGGATTCTGGTTTATTGTCTGACTAAAGATGCATTGAAAGGAGTTGAACTTCCCCTCTGAAGACTGTCAAAACACAAAGAACCAAAGTGCTTTTGGAGTGGGGAAAAGCTGAAACTCATTACTGCCAATTACACATATGGAACATGGGTTATGCAAGAGCCAAGGCTGGGAAAGAATGACCCATCCAGAAGATGTACAATGGGTGGGCCCCAGGCCCTGGCTCAGCAGAAAGCTGGCACCGCTGAAGCCGTTGGACTGAAAGGGTTCAGCTGAAATGGTGACGGACCACATCCATCACTGTCCTTGCAAAGACACTTTCCTCAGATTGTGCCTCCATGAGGTTCTAGAAAAGGACCCTTGGTGCCTGGTTTCTCTGTTTCACTCGTGGGATATTCTGACAATCAGGTGAAGGCAGAAGGCCTGAGGCAGAGATGTGTCCTCTGAGAGGGAGGGACACAGTCAACAAGCCAAACTGCAGAGAAAATCGTTCTGTTTCACCTGCATGTACCTTGAGAAATGCAGTGCCCTGGAAGTGCTTTGCTGGTTCCACATGTGCCTGTCTGTATTGGAGCTGGCAATGCCCCTGTCTCATAACTCACACGCAGAGCCACCAGTCTGACCTTGCAAGGCTGATCATGGCATGGCAAAGAGAAGCAGAGTAACTGTGGTGTGCCCTGCAGGGCTGCAAAGCTATGTGAACCTGCCCCTGGCTCCACACCTTCCTCTGGCCACCCATTCCTTCCTCGATCCACTCTAAAGTCCTACTACTCTTTTCCAAGCCCATTAGGAAATGAGCTGGTGACCTCTGAGGCACCTTCTCCAGGTCCCTCCTTTGCCTCCCTGGCAAACAGCAGCTTTCTCATTAGCAGGCTTGAAGCTTTAAAAGACTCATGAGAAAAGGGATTAAGAGAATTCCTGTTGCTCTGTCTGTATTCAACTCTTGTCTCCAGAAACACCAAAGCCTCCACTCTCCTTAGTCAGAGGATGGTCCTTGCTCCTACCACTGTCGCTGGATTGCAGTATGCAGAGGGATCAGACAGACAGACCTCACACAGGCTGCCGCTAGGTACAGCTTTCTGGATACCGGCCACAAAACTCCTCCAAACAAGCCAACAAGGACCTAGCATGAAGCTGACCAATCTGTCTGGCAGTTCAGAAAACATACAAGTTGAATAACTGCTGTAAAACAATGCCAATTCTTTAAAGGAGTTCTTCCAGTACTGTTAGTACGAAGAGTTATCACAAAAAGAAGGCATAGTGGGATTTGGAAGGGCAGAGTCCAATTCCCAGTGATACCATGCACATGTAA